AAAACAAGAAATTGTCCTAAATAAACCCAAAAACACCACGCAACCCACTGCCAGCTAACAAGATAAATGACTTCTTCTAACCAAGGTTCTAATCTCCCAAAAAAATCCCACGTACCAAAAGCCCATGCCCCGGGGCTACCTTAAAGGGAATTTCCCAAAACCCTTTTATCTTGCTCCAACGAGCCCACGGAAGTCACCGAGATTATTTAAAATCACTTTAAAAATAACTCAGGGAAACGTCTCGTCCATCTTATTTTACAAGAAGTGGCCCATGTCCTCTGCAATTTTCTCATTACTTTTTAACAAGTCACTAAAACAGCACCTTCCCAAATTACCAAGACGGCAAGGGGTTTCACCAATACATAAAGGGGGTGACCCCCAGATTTAAAAAAAAAATAGGCCAAATCAATTACCATTTCTATCCAAAAAATTTGGAAACTCGTGCACAGGAGCTGATTCATTTTTAAAAAATCACAAACATACTCAACCCCTGCCCAAATTTTGGGTTCAGAAAAAATAAAAGCACTAAGATGCAATCATAAAAAGAATTCAAACACAGCATTGGAAAAAAAAGGAATATCCACAGGGAATTTTTATTTACCTAAAAAAAGCTTTTGACACAGTAGGCCATCTCCTATTCCACAAAATTGACCAATTTTAAATGGGTATAAAGGCCTGCCTTGATATTTTAAATTTACCTTCTAATGGTATCATAGTCACCATTAAGCCAGATCAAAAAACAGCCATTTTACTGGAGTCCCCAGGGAAGGTCCTTGGGCCCCTGCTTTCCCATATACTCAACGATCTTCCAAATTTCAACCCGACCCCCATTCTCTTTTCTGACGACAGACTTATGTATCTCCACCCTAAACTTGCCACCCCAAAAACCATTTTAATGAGAGCGATAAAATATCGACTGGAGCAGCCAAAAAAACTTACGCTTAACGTTTACAAAACCTACTACATTATGTTTGGGACAGGCAGGGGATGCGCAATTAACATTAAGCGCAACACTCTAATTGCCCGGCATAATGGGGGCAAAAACCTAGGGCCCAAACCCGACAACAACCGAACTTTTCCCCCCAAACCAACAATAACCAAAAAAATTTCCAAAAAATTGGGGTCATCTCCCAAAAACAATACTACTGCCGCAAACTGCCTTTTCCCCTATAAAAATTCACTTTATATCCTTTCCTCCCTATGCTATTGTCTTGGGGTTTAACTGCCAACACACCTAAAGCCATAAAACCCACAAAAACACAGTAAAAATAATCAAAAATCCCATCCCCGGCAAAAAACACCCCCCACTCTTTTATTCTAAATTTTCTCCCGTTCAGTACATCCACACTTCTATTCAATCTACTCTACAGGGGCCTTAAATTCCAATATTTTAAACCCTTTACCTAAAATCTTTCTTTATAGTTTGACGAACCCCCAGGCACAACACAACACAAACCTCCCAGACATTTTCCCTGTCCCACTAAACCTTTACAAAAATTCAATGTATGTCAAAGAACCTAAAATCTGGAACACCCTACCCAAAAATTCCAAAACTGCAGACACATTCATCACCTTCAAAACTACCATCAGAAAACATCTTATCTCCCTGATACACCCTGTCAACTAATAATACGAATACCACCTGGTGGTTCACACTTACACTCACTCACCCATTTGACCATAAACAGAAATATCAATCTCAATCTCAAAATAATATATCTTAACTAGTCATAAGTTGGCCTGTGATACTCCAATACTGAAACTATGTATAGTGCCAAAACAAAAGCATTCACATTGCTAAACTCACAACTAGTATTTAGTCACTTAGCCATAATACCAACTTACCTCATAATTTTGTAATATTTTAAACTTAAGATTTAATATAAGTCTGCCCGAAATGCCTAGCCATGCTAGGTGTTCTAGTGGTACACTCTGTAATTATTATTTTACTACATGTAAACCACACAATAACCAAATTCTGTAAACTCAGCATTGTAATCCTCATAGAGAATAAACTTTGAATTGAATCTCACACTACTGCTTTCCTCACTTAACGATGTACTTGTTTATCGATGCCTCGGACTTATGACAGGCTCTCTGACCAGTATGCATACCTAAATAATGTAGAGTACAGCTGATTTCCTCTATTCTGTTTATTACAATATACAGTACACTACTGTATAAACATTTAAAAATATGTATACCAAAAATGTTATAAATGGTGCAAAGGGGACATTAAAACAATATCAAAGATAACTGACACCAACCCACTACCATTATAGTATGCTCCTCACATAGCGATGAATTCGTTTACTGACGTGGTCTTAGGAACAGAACTCTGTCGTTAAGTGAGGAGAGGCTGTATGCAAAAACACAAGGCACATAAAGGGCCCGAAGATCTGGAACTCTTTGCCTGAAACAGCAAGAGGTCCCCTGCCCACAAATCAATTTAGGACTACTGTACATACTACATACTGTTGTATTCTGAGCACCTCTGCAAAAACAGTGATTATGTGTGAGTGAGGTGAAAGTGTTGAATGATGATGAAAGTATTTTCTTTTTGGGGATTTTCTTTCTCTTCGGGTCACCCTGCCTCGGTGGGAGACGGCCGATTTGTTGAAAAAAAAAAATACTCAAAAATCACCTCTCTCTCAATAACAACCATATCCACACTACGCTAAACTCTAACCAAATTTAAAGCTACTCTCCCAAATATTTTATTATCTGTGAACTATTAAACCATTATTACAAACTTTAAAATGTATGTTTGTATCATTAATTGTACTACCTCATATTTATAACAGAGTAAACAAACTTAATTACAAACTTAAAAATGTATGTTTTTTTTTTTACCATAAATTATACTACAGTGGAACCTCAGTTTTTGTTGAATTCGGTTTTTGGTGACTTTTTCGTCAAAATTTTGTCCCAGTTTCCGTTCATCACCTCGATTTTCATCAGTCCACTGTACTGAACGTGTCCGCCTGCCCATGCCCACACAAAGCATCCCATGCATTCTGAGTCAGTTTGGCTTTGTTTCTAGTCAAATGAGTATTGCCCTGCGTGTTCATTCAAAACATTTCGTAATAATCCATTTTTTTTGTGCTTGTTTATTGAGTGCAACTGCTAAATAAGACACCATGGGGCCAAAGAAAATTCCGAGTGCCAGCCCTTTGATAAAGAAGGCGAGAAACACGGTAGAATTCAAGAAAGAACTCATAGCAAAGTACGAAAGTGGTGTATGTGTGGTCGATCTCGCCACTACATATGGGAAGTCCTCATCAACGATCAGTTCCATCCTGGCAAAGAAAACAGAAATCAAGGAATCTGATGTTGTGAAAGGAGTAAATGTGCTAACGAAACAGAGATCGCGTCTTCCATACGCCAACAAGTCTTCAATAAAGGTAGAAGTAATATTAAATGTTCATTTATCCATTTCATTAGTCCTTTATATTTATTTCTCATTGTTTTCTGTATGTAATACCTAAGCATGTTAGTGGCTTTCTTTGTACCAATCAAATTATGAAATGCAAAGACACATTGTAACCTTAGCAAAGAAATAAAGTTTTTGATTTTGATTTGATTTGAGTGATCATTAGTATATATACATGTACTGCTAAGTCTTTAGTACGTAAGCCACTTAGTCTTCTACCTAAACTTACAATACATGTACAGTGGACCCCCGCATAACGATTACCTCCGAATGCGACCAATTATGTAAGTGTATTTATGTAAGTGCGTTTGTACGTGTATGTTTGGGGGTCTGAAATGGACTAATCTACTTCACAATATTCCTTATGGGAATAAATTCGGTCAGTACTGGCACCTGAACATACTTATGGAGTGAAAAAATATCGTTAACCGGGGGTCCACCGTACTCACATTTTCAACATTACATTTTATGCATTTATTTAACCTTAATTTATTATGACTCCATGAGGAAGTGGAGAAGAATCCTTCCATTGTAAGCCATGCATGTTTTAAGAGGTGACTAAAATGCTGAGAGCAAAGGCTAGTAACCCTTTTTGTATAAATTACTAAATGTGAAAAGAAGAAAAACTTTATAGTCTTCTTTTTTGGGTCTCCCTGCCTCGGTGGGAGATGGCCAATGTGTTAAAAAAATTACGACAATTAATTTATAATTAAACTACGTATTACTGTATTTTATTTTGTAGGTAGTAGGTTGGTAGACAGCAACCACCCAGGGAGGTACTACCGTCTTGCCAAGTGAGTGTGAAACGAAAGCCTGTAATTGTTTTACATGACGGTAGGATTGCTGGTGTCTTTTGTCTGTCTCATAAATATGCAAGATTACAGGTTCGTCTTGCTACTTCTACTTACACTTAGGTCACACTACACATACATGTACATGTTTATTTATACACACTCATCTGAGTTTTCTTTGATTTCATCTTAATAGTTCTTGGTCTTATTACTTTTCCTTTTATATCCATGTGGAAGTGGAATAAGAATCTTTCCTCCATAAGCCATGTGTGTTGTAAAAGTCAACTAAAATGCTGGGAACAATGGGCTAGTAACCCCTTTTCCTGTAATAATTATTAAAAAGAATAAGAAGAAAAATATTTATTGAAGGGATTCAGGGAAACCGGTTATTTTTATATAACCAGACTTGAGTCCTGGAAATGGGAAGTACAATGCCTGCACTCTAAAGGAGGGGTTTCGGGATATTAGCAGTTTGGAGGGATATGTTGTGCATCTTTATACGTATATGCTTCTAAACTGTTGTGTTATGAGCACCTCTGCAAAAACAGTGATTATGTATGAGTGAGGTGAAAGTGTTGAATGATGATGAAAGTATTTTCTTTTTGGGGATTCTCTTTCTTTTTGGGTCACCCTACCTTGGTGGGAGACGGCCAACTTGTTAAAAAAAAAAAAATTATTTTACGTAGCATTGCGAAAGTAAGCTACATCACATACTGGTGTTGAGCTCTGTCTGATAACAGTAAGTGCTGTGTGGTGGTAGTAAATTGTATTGTTACCTTATTATAGTGAGTTCCATAAGACCCAAACCAGAAGCAATGATATCTCCTATGTCCTGTGTGCCAGCCTCTCCTTCCCGAGTTGTTCCCAGGAGTCGAGTCTGTAATATAACAAATTGCTATGTAAACGTGGTCCTTGAAATTTCTTGGGCAAGAAGCTCTTTCTTCAAAGTCTCACTTGTTCCAGCGAAGGTATTATCATTTTAATTCTTTAAGGTGGATAATATATGGACATGACATACAGCATCATAAGGATCCTTATGAATAACATTTAAATTATTTTGGCTAAATTAATTGTCCAAAACAATCTGATAGAGCATTTAACTTTGTATATCGTGTAACTTACTGCTTGGCTGTACCAGGGTGTGTTTGTGCGCTTCTTGAAGGCCAAATCATCATCATCAGTCAAAGGGAGAGAGGATCTACGTTGGGGTCCTGACGTAAAAGATGGTGATGGCTGGGAGACTGGTGGTAGGGTTACACTGGAAGCAGGCCCTTTGTCAGAACCCAAGTCAGCTGAGGATATGTTACATCCAGCTACCGATGGTACAGACCTAAACACTACACTTACTGTTACTGTCCTGTAAGGCAAAAGAACTTATTAAAGTACGTGGAGAAAGAGATGAAATAGTCTGATAAAAATGTAAAAGAGGAAACAGTGGATGATAGAGTAGTGAATAAATAGTGATGGTTATTTTGACAAGTTTATTATACATTCTATATCCATCTTCTAGGCAACAATCAATGGGTCCGAGAACTGAGCCATTCCATACCAAGCAAGACAATATCTCCTTTCCTCACTTAATGACGAAGTTCCATTCCTGAGACCATGTCATCAAACGAATTTGTCGCTAAGTGAGGAGCATATTATAATGGTAGTGAATTTGTGTCAACCATCTTTGATATTGTTTTAATGTCACCTTTGCACCATTTATAACATTTCTGGTATATTTTTAAATGTTTATACAGTAGTGTACTGTATATTGAAATATACAGAATAGAGGAAATCAGCTCAAATATACATTATTTAGGTATGAATATTGGTCAGAGAGCCCATCGTAAGTCCGAGGCATCAGTAAACGAGTACGTCACTAAGTAAGGAAAGGCTGTATTGTTAATGAGATATCTAAGTCAAAGCCAAATTTTATTTCAAAGAATTACAGGGTGTTTATTCAGCTATGGGATTACATCTCTTTGGAATGGCCTTTGTAATGCAAAGCATTTCAAGAAAACTAAAACTAGTACAGTGGACCTCCAGTTTTCGGCCAGTAATGAAATCGTGCAATTCGGATTTTGAGCAATTTTTTGGGCGAAATTTACCCTCGGGTTTCATATACCCTCTCAGAAATCGTTGGTAGCAAACGCGAGTGCCTGGGCCGCTCATACATTCGTGACTCACTCTTGGGCACATTAAATGTCTCATTTTAGGTTAATATAGACATTTTCATTAATCCATCTATGATATTTTCTTCAAAATTATGTAAGAAACACGGTACATAGCATATAAACATGCCTTTGTTACTTGTTCACTCAGAGTGTCCCTCTAGTCTTAACTCCATAGTAATACTAATAGTACGTGCTAATAATGACTCTTGGGCACATTAAATGTCTTATTTCATGTCAATATACACATTTTCATTAATCCATCTATGATATTTTCTTTAAAATTATACTATAAATAAAACGTTACACAGCATATAAACATACAATGTTTATATGCGGTGGAGGGTAAACATTACGTTTTCTCTGGTCCGGCATTAGAGAAAACTGTATGAATCTGAGTTGGCCCAGTAACCACCCTTAATAGTACACAAGGCTTTTGTTTACAATTCTCGGCATGAATTATTCATTACTTCTCCCTTTGTTTATGATGGCATCTAAAGGTAGTTGTCAGAAACGATTAAACTTAGTGAACATGGTATGTCAATGGTAATAATGTGGTTGTAGGCTGCAGTGTATGTAGCCAGTAGGTATACACTGGGATGTAGTCCCCCTGGGACTATAAATACATACTACTCACCAACAAGAATCTTCAATAAAGGTATGTAATGTTCATTTATCATTAAAATTAGCCATTTATATTTATTTCTCATTGTTTTCTGTATGTAAAACTAGAGTAATTCTCTATAAAATGTATTTTTTGTTAATATTTTTGGGTGCTTGAAACGGATTAATTGGATTTACATTATTTCTTATGGGAAATATTACTTCAGTTTTCGGCCATTTTGGATTTCGGCCAACCTGCTGGAATGGATTAATTACGAAAACTGGGAGTCTACTGCACTTACAAACTAGTGAATACTAATACAGATAAGTGATAAGGATTATAACATTGATTTATAGTTTTGTGAGACAATTAAGAATGAATAATTTTTATATATAATAAATGAGTTTTGATCACAAGAATAACAAGTGAATGAGCTGGCAAGATACGATACAACTGATATACAGTGGATCCCCGCATACCGTTGGCATCACATAACGTTAAATCCGCATACCGATACATTTTATCGCTAAGATTTTGCCTCGCATACCGCTAAAAAACCCACTCAACGCTATTCGTCCGAGACGCGTCTAATGTGCGGCCTGAGCCAGCCTCACATGTTCCGACGGTGGCATTGTTTACCAGCCAGCCTCCGCGGTAACATCTAAGCATACAATCGGAACATTTCGTATTATTACAGTGTTTTCGGTGATTTTATCTGCAAAATAAGTGACCATGGGCCCCAAGAAAGCTTCTAGTGCCAACCCTGTGGTAAAAAGGGTGAGAAATAGTATCGAAATACTGTGGTACCATGGTCAACTGCTGATGCTGCTGTAGCACTGTCAGCTGCTGCTGCTGCTGTAGCACCATCAGCTGCTGCTGCTGCTGTACCACCGTCAGCTGCTGCTGCTGTAGTACCATCTGCTGCTGCTGTAGCACCGTCTGCTGCTGCTGTAGCACTGTCAGCTGCTGCTGCTGCACTGTCAGCTGCTGCTGCTGCTGCTGTAGCACTGTCAGCTGCTGCTGTAGCACTGTCAGCTGCTGCTGCTGCTGCTGCTGTAGCACCGTCAGCTGCTGCTGCTGCTGTACCACCGTCAGCTGCTGCTGCTGCTGTAGTACCGTCTGCTGCTGCTGTAGCACGTCTGCTTGTTGCTGTAGCACTGGTCCAGCTGCTGCTGTTAGCACTGTCAGCTGCTGCTGCTGCTGCTGTAGCACCGTTGTTGGTGTGGCTTATTGAGAATACCAAGAAACAATTAACCCCAGAGGGTTAGCCACCCAGGATAACCCAAAAAAGTCAGTGTCATCGAAGACTGTCTAACTTATTTCCATTGGGTCCTTAATCTTGTCTCCCAGGATGCAACCCACACCAGTCGACTAAACGCCCAGGTGAACAGGGAAAAATGCCTGGAATTAGTGCTCATATTGGTGAATTTAAAGCCAGCAAAGGTTGGTTTGAAAGATTTAAGAATCGTAGTGGCATACACAGTGTGATAAGGCCTGTTCTGGAAGAAAATGCCAAACAGGGCCTACAGTACTCAGGAGGAAAAGGCACTCCCAGGACACAGTGTCTCATCAGTCATTGCTGCATCTTCAATGAAGGTAAGTGTCATTTATTCTTCATTTAGTAGAGTAGTACATGCACAATATATATTGTGCATGTACTACTCTACTATTGTGCATGTATCCTTCTCTTTGTGTGTAGGAAAATGTATATTTCATGTGGTAAAATTTTTTTTTTTCATACTTTTGGGTGTCTTGCACGGATTAATTTGATTTCCATTATTTCTTATGGGGAAAATTCATTCGCATAACGATAATTTCACATAACAATGAGCTCTCAGGAACGGATTAATATCGTTATGCGGGGGTCCACTGTATTAAAAGTTTATGATCGTTACATTTTCAAATATTATATGAAGTTCAAGAGGTTTTTATGACAATGTTTCTGAAGCTATTGAGAAATAAAGAATTTTTTGAACCTTCAGAAAGGTAGTTCCAAATTCTGGGTTCTTTGACTTGCATGGAGTGTTTATTCAGGTTGAATTATACACATGGAACTTCAGAGATATATAGTTCTAGTGTTGTGCTTATGTGATTCGTTGAAGCTCTCCAGGTACTGTTTTAACTCAATGAACTGTACATGTAATACATAGAAAAGTATGTGAGAATGCTTTATACATAGATTTAAATCTTTTAATAGTAGGAGAAGGGTGTATATTGTATGGAATCAGACTAAAGTGACAGTTGTAATGGCTAATTTTCTTTGGGTTATGACTGATTTTAGATGATTTGTTACTATATATTCCCATGCATACATACCACAGGTGAGGTGAAGGACAATTAAAGGACAATATAGAATAAATATAGCAGACCACCAACTTTCGCATGGGTTATGTCCCTGAAAACAGAGCTGTACATGAAATTGTGATGTGTACAGTGAAGAACTTGTGGAAAAAATTGGGTTACATTCCATGATGCCTTGAAAAACAAGACTTATTCTTTTTTAAGTTCAAACATTAGCTAAGTAATAAAATAATAATTTTATGAGGTGAATCATAGAACTGATGAGGGGAAAAAGGTGAGTGGTGCACTGAGGAGTATGAGGAGACAAAAAATGTTATCCATGGAAGCAAAGAGGGGAATGTAGGAGAGTATAGTTGTACCAATGCTCTTATATGGGTGTGAAGCATGGGTGGTGAATGTTGCAACAAGGAGGGGGCTGGAGGCAGTGAAGATGTCATGTCTGAGAGTAATGTGCAGTGTGACTATAATGCAGAGAATCCAAAGTTTGGAAATTAGGAGAATGTACGGGGTTACTAAAAGTATTATCCAGAGGGCTGAGGAGGGTTGTTGAGGTGATTCAGACATTTAGAGAGGATGGAACAAAACAGAATGACTTGGAGGGTATATAAATCTGTAATGGAAGGAAGGTAGGGTAGGGGTCAGCCTAGGAAAGGTTGGAGGGAGGGAGGGAGGGAAGGGGGGTTTGTGTGCAAGGGGCTTGAACTTCCAGCAAGCATGCATGAGTGTGTTGGATAGGAGTGAGTGGAGACAAATGGTTTTTATGACGATGTGCTGTTGGAGAGTAAGCAAGGTAACATTTATGAAGGGATTCAGGGAAAACAGCAAGCTGGGCTTGAGTCCTGGAGGTAGGAAGTACAGTGCCTGCACTCTGAAGGAGGGGTATTGACATGTTGCAGTTTTATAACTGTAGTGTAGATGCACCTCTGGCAAGACAGTGATAGAGTGAATGATGATCAAAATGTTTCTCCTTTTTCAGGTCACAATGCCTTGGTGAAAAATGGCCGATGTATTAACATACACAGTGGAACCCTGAGTTTCGAACACATTGACTATCAAATGCTTTGAGTTTCAACCACTTTTTTCACACCAATTTTGTCCCGAGTATCGAACGTGCCCCGTGTTTTGAACCGCATACCAGACCTGTCCGCCTGCCCGTGCCTACCCACATCCCCCGCGCAGGCGTCGTGAGCCAGTCTGGCTTTGTTTATGCTTGAGTGAACACTAATCTGTGAGCTCATTTAAACATTTCACAATTAATTCACTGTGTTTGGTACTTATTTATTAAGTGCAACTGTGAAATAAGCTACCATGGTGGTGATGGTGGATGGTGGTGGTGGTGGATGTGTGGTGGATAGTGGATGGTTGGATGGTGGATTCGGTGGATGGTATTGGTGGATGTATTGTGGTGGTGGTACTGGATGGTTGGTGTATTGGTGGATGGTCGGATGTGGTGGTCGTGATGGTGGTGGTGTGGTGGATGGATGGTGGTGGTGGATGGTTGGTGGTGTGTGTGGTGGTGATGGTGGTGGTGGTGGATGGTGGTGGTGGATGATGGTGGTGTGGTATGGTGGTGGTGATGGTGTGTGGTGAATGGATGGTGGTGGATGGTGGTGGTGGTGATGGTGGTGGTGGATGGTGGTGGTGGTGGATGGTGGTGGATGGGTGGATGGTGGATGTGGTGGTGGGGTGGTGTGGATGGTGGTGGTGGATGGTGGTGGTGGTGGATGGATAGGTGGTGGTGGATGTGTGGTGGTGGTGGTGGTGGATGGTGGTGGTGGATGGTGGTGGGGATGGTGGTGTGTGGTGGGTGGTGGTGGTGGATGGTGGTGTGGTGGTGGTGGGTGGTGGTGGTGGGTGGTGGTGGTGGTGTGGTGGTGGTGTGGTGGTGTGGGTGGTGGTGGTGGATGGTGGTGGTGGATGGTGGGTGGTGGTTGGTGGTGGTGGATGGTGGTGGTGTGGATGGTGGTGGTGGATGGTGGTGTGTGGTGATGGTGGTGGTGGTGGATGGTGGTGGTGGTGGTGGTGGTGGTGGTGGTGGTGGATGGTGGTGGTGGATGGTGGTGGTGGATGGTGGTGGTGGATGGTTGGATGGTGGTGGTGGTGGTGGTGGTGGATGGTGGTGGGTGGTGGATGGTGCCTTCTTCAGAGATTAAGGAGATTTGTGCAATGTGGAATAGGGTGCAGGTATTTGCTGAAAAATATCACCCTGAGCAAGCTGAAACAAGCCATCTCTGCAACAAGATCAGCGACAGAACCATGTCCCATTTTAGGGAAATCTTAAAGAAGGGAAGTAACCCCAGATAAGGACTTGTTACCTAAAATCTTTATGGAAGGGGATTTCCCTTCCAAACAATAAGTGGTCTCTTACTCCTCCTCCCTATCTTCCAGATGCCATCAACAATCTTCAATAAAGGTAAGTAAAAATGTTATTTTATATGTTTATTTAAATGTTTATCTATTACTAATTGTACTAGTATGTTTGCTGTATGTAAATCTCTATAAAATGTATTTTTTGTGAATATTTTTGGGTTTCTGGAATGGATTAATTGTATTTACATGATTTCTTAGGGGAAATATTACTTCAAGTTTCGAACGTTTTGACTTTAGAACTAGCCCCTTGGAACGGATTAAGTTTCAAACTCAGGGTACCACTGTATAATACAATTTGTTACTGCCTAATTAATCTTAAGATAGGCTTAAGTTTGTCCAAAATGCTGTGCATACTAAGGGCTTTCTGAATGCACACCTAAATGTCATTCACCCTTGTACAAACATTGTATCATGCTGAAATAAAGAATCTTTAATCTTTATCTCATATGCTTTAGTCTCCAGTTTAATTAATGCAGCCTGGCCCCTTTTCTTTTCAGAAGAGTTTGCTACTGACTTCTGGCAACCATCCAGCTGTGGTGTTACCCTGTGATTCTCATCAGTGCTACAACAGCTGTTGTTCTGTAAGTTCATTCTTGTAAGCGTGCTCCGTGAGTGAATGTGGTTTTGCGAAATTCTTCCCTTCAATTCATGGTAACTGCTGAAATTCATAATGGATGTTACACCTAGGAAGCATGCAAGTATTGTAGCTCTTAGAAAAACATGCTGATTTGTGTATCAGACAGATTGCCAAAAATTGGAGCCTAGCAAAGTCAACTGTTGGTCAAATTCTGAAGAGACTGACATCACTGGTGACTGAAGCACTGCATCGAGGAAGATGTCAGAGAAGAAAACACAAGACAACACCTCATGATGACATGGTTATCATAAAAAATAGTGTGAATTATCCCAAGAAAACCAGCAAAGATCTACAGAGAGATCTGGCTTTAGCTGGCATTAAAGATGATTCTTCAACTGTTCAACAAAGCCTCCTTGAAGTTGGCAGAACTGCCAGAAAGCCAGTAAAGAAACAATTACTGACTGCTGCTATGAAAAAAAAGGGTTGCAGTGGGCACTCTGTCTTTTCTCCAGTGGGCACTGGAGAAAAGTTATATTTTCAGATGAGGCGTATTTTGAAGTACCTGGGTACAGATCAGTGGTAGTGAGATGAAGCAAAGGCGAACCTCTTTGAAATGAACACATTCAACAAGTGCCAAAGCACCCACCTATGAAGATGTTTTGGGGTAGTTTTACTGCTAAAGGCCCTGGATGGCTTGCTATTGTTGAGGGAATGATGAACAGTGACAAATACAAAGCAATCCTGGCAACTCATTTGCTTCCCATTGTGGATAGAGACTTTACTGATGGAGAAGGCATTTTCCAGCAGGATCTTGCTCCATGTCACACTTCAACAAAAATGCTGACATTCTTCAGAGAGAGTGGGCTAGGAAACTCCTCTGACCTCAACTCAATTGAGAATCTATGGGGAATAACCAAACACAGGATTGCAAAACAGGACTGTTCAACTGTGGAGAAGTTAATTACTTCTGTCGTTAGGATGTAATACGATGATGAAGAACTTGCCAAAACGTGTTATCATTGATTGATTCTATGCCAAAGCATGCAACAATGCTTACAAAAGAAAAAGGTAGTCATATTTCTTATTAAACCAATTATCTGTCATATCACTGCTGTGTATTTTTCAAATAAACATTAATTTTCCAAATAAATGTCTTATTTCACTACTGTCCCAATTAATATGCATACTACTGTAGTATGACAGGCTTTCTCCTTGATCATAATGCAGCAAAGTGAGGCACTTTTCATTTTTTCTCCTGAATCCAGTAATTCAGCATTTTGTCTGTTTTATTTAACTGTACTAACCTCTTTCCCATTTTTTCAGCAGGTCACACCCTGGATCACTCACTGCACAAGCTCTTATCTTGTCCTCATTGTCTCGAACTGAACAATTTGTTGATTCTCTCACACCAAAGGCAGAGGCTGCATCTATCACATGTGTACCACTTTAGAGCATGTCAATCACCTCAATTTTCTGCACTAAAGGCATAGCATAATACTTAAACTTCTTTCTGGCACCTTGAAAATCACCACAATTTCCTTCTGATATCTTGATTCAGGGAAACCAGTTATTTTTATATAGCCGGACTTGAGTCCTGGAAATGGGAAGTACAATGCCTGCACTCTAAAGGAAGGGTTCGGGATATTGACAGTTTGGAGAGATATGTTGTGTATCTTTATATGTATATGCTTCTAAGCTGTTGTGTTCTGAGCACCTCTGCAAAAACAGTGATTATGTGTGAGTGAGGTGAAAGAGTTGAATGATGATGAAAGTATTTTCTTTCTTTTTGGGTCACCCTGCCTCGGTGGGAGATGGCCGACTTGTTAAAAAAAAAAAAAAATCTTGATCAATACCCATACACAAGATGGGGTGATGAAAATACTGGAAATGGAATGATAACAAAGGAGAGAACAATGGTATGGTACAAATCTGTGAGGCAACTGGTGGTAATATGGAAGGTCTAAAAAAAAAAAAAAAAAAAATGGATCCTGAGGTGAGTGGGAGGGTAAATATCCCACCTGCACTGGCACAAAAGGTAATGAGAGTTAGACTGGAAGCTAAAGGCAGGTTACAAAATGTGAGTTGCAAAGTGATGAAAACATAGTATGTGGGAGTGCAAAAGGTTTGGGTTTACTGTAGTGTAAATAAGGTGGAATAGTTGTTAAGTAGAGATAATAATAAAGTAGTACAGTATCATAAGTAGCAAATGGCTAGATGGTTGGATCACATTAGCAAAGCAAATGAAACGGCACTCACCCGGGTGAAGACAAGGAAGATGTAACACCCCCAGGAGTAGGAAGGCTACGGGTGAGAGGAAGTTGATGACGCACCATAGGCAGCTCCACCTGAGCAAATACTGTGTTCAGTTATTCTGCACAAGTTCATACTGTTAAACCAAACATAACCAAAGTCAAGCAGCAGCCCCACCATCTGTCTAAAGTGGGACTTCCCTGATACTCAACATTAATGTTTAAAACATACTTACATTGTAGCAATCTATCTCATATAATAAATTACAGATGCATAATACTGGATCAAAAGCAAGATTACCCAAGAAATATAAATCACAAGCTCATAAAAGTGAACTGTGGATGGTTTTATGCAGTACTTAAAAAAATAAAAATATATAGACCTTTGATTTAACCCTTTGACTGTTTCAGGCCCCTTTCTGAAACTGTCATTCTATGTCGATAAATTTTTGAAAAAAAAAAAAAAAAAAAAAAAAAATTCTTATGAAATGATAGAGAATCTTTTCTCGATGGTAATGACACCAAAAGTTCGAAATTTGGTCGAAAACTCATGGAATTACACTCATGCAAAGTTAGCGGTCTCGGCGACACATGCGTATCGGCGATTTCGCCGAATTTGAGCTCTATTTTCAGCCAATTCCGTTGTTCCTGTTGACCAAACTCATAGCTATTTCTTTAGAACTGCATTTTATCTATCAGCTGAGTACAAGAAACCTCCCATTTACCAATTTGGACTACCCAATATGGTGGTCAGAAATTGGCAATTTGGCCAATTTCACGCAAACTAAAAAAGATGCCAATTTCAAAATAGGATCCAGAATAAACAAGGTAGACATTCTTGGCACTAAAATAACATATCCTCTGTTCATTAGTCACATCTCTAGGCCCCTCTTATGTTATTATTGCTTTCCATTTTTATTTTTTATTCATACAAAAAAAACTAAATTTACTTTTATGCAGATTACTGCATTATTGTAAAAATGGTATAAATAATATCAGTGCACTAGTGAAAGAATATTAGACTCCCCAGTTGACGTGTATTGGACATGTGGTGTGATTTGTTTACTCCTGAACATTGGTAAAAATCGAACATTTCCGCTACTTTGAGCTCAGTTTCAAGGTCGTTTTCATCGTCAAAGTAATGAAAATCATCTCTATTTCTGTAATATGTTTTCCATTTTATCACCTAAGACCATGAAAACGCAAATACATTGATAAATACTGTACGAAAATACACCTAAGAGTCGGCGTTTTAATCCAAAAAAATGATCAGTTTTTTTTTTCTCATTACGCACTGTGTGCTGCAGGATTTTTTTTATGTGGTGCACACTGACCACACAGACCCATTCTCTCACATGTGGGCCTACCAGCTTTCTTCCACTTGATTTGAAGCCGCTAGAATTATTGAGTATATTATATTATCTTTTTTTTTATTATCACACTGGCCGATTCCCACCAAGGCAGGGTGGCCCGAAAAAGAAAAACTTTCACCATCATTCACTCCATCACTGTCTTGCCAGAAGGGTGCTTTACACTACAGTTTTTAAACTGCAACATTAACACCCCTCCTTCAGAGTGCAGGCACTGTACTTCCCATCTCCAGGACTCAAGTCCGGCCTGCCGGTTTCCCTGAACCCCTTCATAAATGTTACTTTGCTCACACTCCAACAGCACGTCAAGTATTAAAAACCATTTGTCTCCATTCACTCCTATCAAACATGCTCACGCATGCCTGCTGGAAGTCCAAGCCCCTCGCACACAAAACCTCCTTTACCCCCTCTCTCCAACCTTTCCTAGGCCGACCCCTACCCCGCCTTCCTTCCACTACAGACTGATACACTCTTGAAGTCATTCTGTTTCGCTCCATTCTCTCTACATGTCCGAACCACCTCAACAACCCTTCCTCAGCCCTCTGGACAACAGTTTTGGTAATCCCGCACCTCCTCCTAACTTCCAAACTACGAATTCTCTGCATTATATTCACACCACACATTGCCCTCAGACATGACATCTCCACTGCCTCCAGCCTTCTCCTCGCTGCAACATTCATCACCCATGCTTCACACCCATATAAGAGCGTTGGTAAAACTATACTCTCATACATTCCCCTCTTTGCCTCCAAGGACAAAGTTCTTTGTCTCCACAGACTCCTAAGTGCACCACTCACCCTTTTCCCCTCATCAATTCTATGATTCACCTCATCTTTCATAGACCCATCCGCTGACACGTCCACTCCCAAATATCTGAATACATTCACCTCCTCCATACTCTCTCCCTCCAATCTGATATCCAATCTTTCATCACCTAATCTTTTTATCCTCATAACCTTACTCTTTCCTGTATTCACTTTTAATTTTCTTCTTTTGCACACCCTACCAAATTCATCCACCAATCTCTGCAACTTCTCTTCAGAATCTCCCAAGAGCACAGTGTCATCAGCAGCAAAGAGCAACTGTGACAACTCCCACTTTATGTGTGATTCTTTATCTTTTAACTCCACGCCTCTTGCCAAGACCCTCGCATTTACTTCTCTTACAACCCCATCTATAAATATATTAAACAACCATGGTGACATCACACATCCTTGTCTAAGGCCTACTTTTACTGGGAAATAATTTCCCTCTTTCCTACATACTCTAACTTGAGCCTCACTATCCTCGTAAAAACTCTTCACTGCTTTCAGTAACCTACCTCCTACACCATACACCTGCAACATCTGCCACATTGCCCACTATTCACCCTGTCATACGCCTTTTCCAAATCCATAAATGCCACAAAGACCTCTTTAGCCTTATCTAAATACTGTTCACTTATATGTTTCACTGTAAACACCTGGTCCACACACACCCCCTACCTTTCCTAAAGCCTCCTTGTTCATCTGCTATCCTATTCTCCGTCTTACTCTTAATTCTTTCAATAATAACTCTACCATACACTTTACCAGGTATACTCAACAGACTTATCCCCCTATAATTTTTGCACTCTATTTTGTCCCCTTTGCCTTTATACAAAGGAACTATGCATGCTCTCTGCCAATCCCTAGGTACCTTACCCTCTTCCATACATTTATTAAATAATGCACTAACCACTCCAAAACTATATCCCCACCTGCTTTTAACATTTCTATCTTTATCCCATCAATCCCGGCTGCCTTACCCCCTTTCATTTTACCTACTGCCTCACGAACTTCCCCCACACTCACAACTGGCTCTTCCTCACTCCTACAAGATGTTATTCCTCCTTGCCCTGGTCACAGACCGGGCCACGGGGGCGTTGACCCCCGGAACTCTCTCCAGGTAAACACAAAATCACAGCTTCCCTATCTTCATCAACATTTAACAATTCCTCAAAATATTCCCTCCATCTTCCCAATACCTCTAACTCTCCATTTAATAACTCTCCTCTCCTATTTTTAACTGACAAATCCAAAGGGTTAATGAAGTACTCTAAAGAGGGGGTGCAGGTGGGTGGCAATGGTCACTGTTTCTCCCATGACCATAACAAACACTTCTGTAACCAACGGACTTCATCAGTTGTTTCCAAATTAACTGACCCAGTGGATTTTGGTCACTATATCCAAAGTTTATTATACGTACAGAGGTCTGTTATATAGAGGTTTTGCACACGAGTTTTTTACCAATGAGATCAATGTGGGGATGCTGCAGCTTGGAGGTTCATTTGAAATGTAATACCAGCATGTTTCTGGCAAGACAGTGATTGCATGGGTGATAGTGAAAGTGTTTTCTACTTCACCAGGTCACACTACTTCAGTGGAAGATAGCCAGAGTGTTAAAAAAAATATTGTGGAAGTGAGACTATCATATTATTATTATTTACTTATCCTGCATATTTTGTCTCATATATCTGAAGTCCATTAAATTGAGGGTTTACTAGTACAGGTATAGTGCAATCCTGTAATTCACAGGGGCTAGTTTCCCAACTTCCTAGGTTCCTAGAGGCATCATGAATCCTGAAGTCAGAGATCATAGAAAATTTCAAAATTACAGTGGCACCCCGAGTTTCTGCCACATTTCGTTCCAGATGGCTGTTCGAGTGCCGTTACCGAACAAATTTGTTCCCATAAGGAATAATGTAAATTAGATTAGTCCATTTCAGACTCCTAAAAATACATTTACAAAAGCACTTACAATAATACACTTGCATAACTGTTCGAGTTGGGAGCTGTATGAAACTCGGGGTACCACTGTATAAGTTATTTAATCCCTAAACTGTGACATACCCTGCAAATAAAAATTCCTGTGTGTGTTGGGGAGATTTTGAAAAAAAAAAAAATTCTTGTGATGAAATAAATGTATTTTTCTGAAATAAATAAGACTAAAATGAGTGAAATCTGATAAAACTTATGATTTTATGATATGCGGAATTTGGCAAGAAAATTATCACTCATCAGCAAGAGTGGCATAATGTACTAGTGATATTTATGTTTTTCAATTAATTGATGCCAAGATATGATCGTTTTTCTGTTATTTTAATTGGAGTATACTTGGAGAGGGTTTCAGGGGTCAACGCCCCCACTGTGACCATGAGGTCACAGTGGGGCCATTGATCCACCATGATCAGGCATTGATCCACCATGAGGTCTGTGACCAGACCACATGGTGGATCAGGGCCTGATCAACCAGGCTGTTACTGTTGACCGCATGCAACCCGACATATGAACTGCAGCCTGGCTGGTTGGGTACTGACTTTAGGTGCCTGTCCAGCATCTTCTTGAAGACAGCCAGGGGTCTATTGGTAATCCCCCTGATGTATGCTGGGAGGCAGTTGAACAGACTTGGGTCCCTGACACTTATTGTGTTGTCTCTTATCATGCTAGTGGTGCCCCTGCTTTTTATTGGGGGATGTTGCATCGTCTATTGAGTCTTTTGCTTTCACAGGGAGTGATTTTCGTGTGCAAGTTTGGTACTGATCCCTCTAGGATTTTCCAAGTGTATATAATCATGTATCTCTCCCACCTGCACTCTAGGGAGTGCATTCCCAGTAGCTGAGGTGTTTTATCGCAGTTATGTGTGCTTTTAATGTTTAACAAACACTATTCTCTTCAAATTTAAATTTTTATTCCTTTTAATGCTGAACAAGATAATGTACCTTACATGTAATAAAACACTATTAGGCACAAAAGGAAGCCAATACTATGCAACGTATTTCAGGTAAACTAATCATGATGCTCAAAGACTACTTAAGAATTAGATAGACTGTTAAGTAGGATTTTTTTATGCAGTTAACTACCATTATAATGTGCAAAATAACAAAAGTAGCTAAATAAACAACAGTACAATTTTTAAAAGTTTGACTTGTAAATTTAAAATGATTCAATGATCTTCTGTTAAGTAGGATTTCTTAAGCAGTTAATTACAATTACATGCACAATAAGAAATTGTATCACTCATATATTAATATGTGGTACAATTTTAAAAGTATGTATTATTTATAATTTCAAATTGATTCACTGTCTTCAGTGATGTGGAGTGAATGAACAGAGAAGAAGATACAGGAAGTTACGTGGTTGCAGTTTTGTTTTTCCCATAATACACTGGGTGGGACAGAATTTTTTTTATACTGTCCACACTTACCACACAGACCAATTCTTTCATATTTAGGCCAAAATTTACCACTCACAGCTGAGTGGTAAATTTTGGCCTAAATATGAGTGAGCTGAGCTCATGATGTAGAGCTACGTCAGGGACCCTGACCTTAATGACATAGTTCTATATGACAAACAGCAAAAGGGTTAATATTTGTAAGAAAGAATAAGAAGAATTTGAATGAAAACATGGTTAGTTTTCAATTTAAGGGTTGTGTGCTTGGTAACAATTTAGAGGTTGTGTGCTAGGTAACAATTTAGAGGTTGTGTGCTAGGTAACAATTTAGAGGTTGTGTGCTTGGTAACAATTTAGGGGTTGTGTGCTTGGTAACAATTTAGGGGTTGTATGCTTGGTAACAATTTAGGGGTTGTGTGCTTGGTAGCAATTTAGGGGTCTTGTGCCTGGTAACAATTTGGGGGTTGTGTGCTTGGTAGCAATTTAGGGGTCTTGTGCCTGGTAACAATTTAGGGGCTGTGTGCCTGGTAACAATTTAGGGGCTGTGTGCCTGGTAACAATTTAGGGGTTGTGCAATAGGTAACAATTTAGGGGTTGTATGCCAAGCAACAATTTAGAGGCTGTGTGCCAAGCAACAATTTAGGGATATTGTGCCAGGCAACAATTTAAGGGTTATGTGCCATGAATTACAAAGAATGTGAATTCTAGGTCTGAATGTATTTGTATTTCACATCTATAATTTCATGCACTGGCTGGGGAGGTATAACATCTTTTAGAAGTGAAGAAGAGCAGGATGTGAGTGTGGGGGAGGTGCATGAGGCATTACGTAGAATGAAAGGGGGTAAAGCAGCTGGAACCGACGGGATTATGACAGAAATCTTAAAAGCAGGGGGATATAGTGTTGGAGTGGTTGGTGCTTTTGTTTAATAAATGTATGAAAGAGGGGAAGGTACCTAGGGATTGGCAGAGAGCATGCACAGTTCCTTTATATAAAAGGAAGGGGGACAAAAGAGGTTGTAAAAATTAAAGGGATGTGTTGTGCATCTTTATACGTATATGCTTCTAAACTGTTGTATTCTGAGCACCTCTGCAAAAACAGTGATAATGTGTGAGTGTGGTGAAAGTGTTGAATGATGATGAAAGTACTTTCTTTTTGGGGATTTTCTTTCTTTTTTGGGTCACCCTGCCTCGGTGGGAGACGGCCGACTTGTTGAAAAAAAAAAAAAAGAAGTTTACTGAGTATACCAGGTAAAGTGTACGGTAGGGCTATTATTGAAAGAATTAGAGGTAAGACAGAGAGTAGGGCTGCAAATGAGCAAAGAGGCTTTAGAGTGGGTAGGGGATGTGTAGATCAAGTGTTTATGTTGAAGTATATATGTGAACAGTAGTATTTAGATAAAGGTAAGGAAGTATTCATTGCATTTATGGATTTAGAAAAGGCATATGATAGTGGGGATAGGGGAGCAATGTGGCAGATGTTGCAAGTGTATGGAATAGGTAGTAAGTTACTAAATGCTGTAAAGAGTTTTTATGAGGATAGTGAGGCTCAGGTTTGGGTGTGTAGAAGAGAGGGAGACTACTTCCCAGTAAAAGTAGGAATTAGACAGGGATGTGTAATGTCACCATGGTTGTTTAATATATTTATAGATGGGGGTGAGAGGGGTGGGATTAAATTATGGGGAATCAAATACAAAATGGGAGTTGACACAGTTACTTTTTGTTGATGATATTGTCCTTTTGGGAGTTTCTAATGAAAAGTTGCAAAGGTTAGTGAATGAGTTTCGGAGGGTGTGTAAAGGTAGAAAGTAGAAAGTGAAAATAGATAAGAGTAAGGTGATGAGGGCATCAAATGATTCAGATAAAGAAAAACTGGATGTTGCATTGGAGAGAGGGAGTATGGAAGAAGTGAATGTTTTCAGATATTTGGGATATGACTTGTCAGCAGATGGGTTTATGAAAGATGAGGTTAACCATAGAATTGATGAAGGAAAAAAGGTGAGTGGTGCATTGAGGTATCTGTGGAGACATAAAACGTTATCCATGGAGGCAAAGAAGGGTATGTAAGAAAGTACAGTGGTCCCAATACGCTTATACGGGTGTGAAGTTTGGGTTGTAAGTGCTGAAGCAACAAGGCAGCTGGAGGCAGTGGAGATATCATGTCTAAGGGCAATGTGTGGTGTAAATATTATACAGAGAATTCAGAGTGTGGAAATTAGGAGGAGGTGTGGAGTTACTTAAAGTATTAGTCAGAAGGCTGAAGAGGGGTTGTTGAGGTGGTTTGGTCATGTAGAAAGAATGGAACAAAGTAGAATGACTTGGAGAGTATATAAATCTGTAGGGGAAAGAAGGCGGGGTAGGGGTCGTCCTCGAAAAGGATGGAGGGAGGGGGGTAAAAGAGGTTTTGTGGGTGAAGGACTTGGACTTCCAGCAAGCATGTGTGAGTGTGTTAGATAGGAGTGAATGGAGATGAATGGTTTGTGGGACCTGATGAGCTGTTGGAGTGTGAGCAGGGTAATATTTTGTGAAGGGATTCAGGGAAACTGGTTAACCAGACTTGAGTCCTGGAAATGGGAAGTACAATGCCTGCACTTTAAAGGAGAGGTTTGGGATATTGGCAGTTTGGAGGGACTTCTAGACTGTCATATCTGAGCACCTCTGCAAAGACAGTGATTATGTATGAGTGATGGTGAAAGTGTGGAATGATGATGAAAGTATTTTGCTTTCTTTTTGGGTCACCCTGCCTCGGTGGGAAACAGCCAATGTGTTAAAAAAAAAATCTGAATTATTTGTAAGAAATCAAAGTTGAGAACTGAAGAACGAGATCCTTCATATCTGAACTCACAGTAGCAAGGGAAAGAGAGGCAAGGCCTAGAAGCTCTGTGTCCTGAGTCCCACGTGGCAGAGAGCAAACAGCTAATGCCAGTGTCACTGTGGCCACGTCCCTCACCAGCACCTCCACCCCACACTCCCACCGTGGCGATCCACATTCACATACATAGTGGGTTGTTTTTACCTGTGTGGATAAAATTACAAAAATTAATAAGATTAATATTACACTACCATGAATAGCCATAAAAGACATAATGTAGGATATGCAATGTTATAGAAAGAATGTAAAACATTACTGACCTAAGGCATATAAAGTCCTTCAAGGGGCTTTATGGTACCATACCAAGAACAAGAAAATGTTTAATTTTGAATTTTCTATACGTATATATTTGTTTTCAATTTAAAAAGTAGGGAGGGAAGGAGCATTGCTGAGGGAGTTCGTTGTGGTCTGGTTTTCTGCTTCTTACCTTCCTGCGGTTGCTGAAGATAAGGCAGTAGGGACTGGGGGGATATTCTGTGGTGGTCGTGATGTTGTCTGCACCATGGACCACAATGTAGAGTACACCAGCGCCTATTTACACAGAGAGAAGTTTGTGCCTCAAATATGTGACTCTTATAGCTTGTTTTTTTCAACTTATGTCTTACTTGGTTGGCTGATACATTATTTTTTGCTAGTAAGTAATACAAAGTCATTCTCCAAAAATGTATAAGAAGGTTTAAAATTTACAAATACAGAACAGGATAACTGCATTTGCCAAATCTATATGATGCATACCCAACTAGGTATACTGTACTACACATACCTAGTTGCGTGAATTCTATTAAAGCCAGCTGATCCAGTGTGAGTGTACTGGCCTGAGACTTTAAGGCCCCCACTACCATGGGCTCAAGCCCCACCCATTCTGTGATTTATTTGCAATCATGTTACTGTATTATGTTTTCCTGAGTCCTAACCATTAAGTTTTCTGTCAATTAATTTTAAGGCACAATCTTGAGTTTGCTCAAAATGCCTAGCATAAGTATGGGCTCTTTCAGGAATAACACAACCTATTGTAACTAATCTCTGTACACAACTGTATCTTCTTGGCAAAATAGAAGTTTATGTTAGTATTCTAATCATTCACTCCTAGCCACCTAGGGTATATAAAAATTTAACATTATGCTTAATATGTATTAATCCACAGTTATTGTTTGACTAGTGAATAATTTCGTCTAGTTACCTTCAAGGTGTGTGAGCAACCCACCTTCTTGGTTGTCTGTCAGAGGTGTAGGGAGGGGTGACTCCAGGTTGACAGGGCTGAGTGGGGTGTACTGCAGCCGCAGGTGTAGAGGTGGCACACTCCCCCCAATAACTTTCCCACCCTATCTCTGTACACACTGTCTCTGCCCTAAATAAAGTTAGCTAGTATCTAAAATTACTGAAAACTAGGTATATAGAAAATTTAAAAGAATAGTATTAACTCCTACAGTTTTGTTTAACTAAGAATTTTGTCTAACCTCAATATGTGAACAAATCCACCCGGTGTTGTCAATGTAGGAGTGGACCCAGGTTAACAGGTATTTTACTGCACTCCAGAGTGTCAGGGGGCACTACTACCCCGAATTACTTCCCAAAAATATTGTGAATAATTAGTCTCTGCCCCAAACATACATAGTAACAAAGCACTTAATAAATACACTTACATAATGAATGCTATTAAAAAAAGTTTAACTGGTACAAAAATGCTATTAATAAGACATTTGTGTACAAAACCTCAATATGGAACAAAATCCACTGGGTCAATCAGTTCAAAACCATGGGACAAAGTCTTTCAATTACAGAATTGTCTGCTATTACTAAATATGGCAAAACAAACTAACTGCCACAATTGCCATTACTGCCCCCCACTGCCTCTTACTAGTTCATTATATCCAGAGTTTATCAAAAATACAGTTTAAAACAAAACCAATAAAGCACCTAAATTACTGGGAACGGTTGAAGTCCCTTGATCTGTATTCCCTGGAACATAGGCGAGAGAGATACATGACAATATACACTTGGATTGCACATGAAAATCGCTCCCTATGAAAGCAAAAGACTCGGCAGAAGATGCAACATTCCCCCAATGAAAACCAGGGGTGCCACGAGTACACTTAGAGACAACACAGTAAGTGTCAGGGGCCCAAGACTGTTCAACTGCCTCCCAGCATACATAAGGGGGATTACCAACAGACCCTTGGCTGTCTTCAAGAAGGCACTGGACAGGCACCTAAAGTCAGTACCTGACCAGCCGGGCTGTGGTTCGTATGTCAGTGTGCGTGTAACCAGCAATAACAGCCTGGCTGATTAGACCCTGATCCACTACGAGGCTTGGTCTCAGACCAAACCACAGGGCGTTGGGCCCCGAAACCCTCTCCAGGTATACCCATCATGTGGGTGATAGTCCCTCCACACCCATTATGTGGGTCATAGTCCCTCCACACCCATTATGTGGGTGAAAGTACCTCCACACCCTCATGTGGGTGATAGTACCTTCACACCCATCATGTGGGTGACAGTCATCCCTCCACACCCATCATATGGGTGATAGTACCTCTACACCCATCATGTGAGTGATAGTACCTCCACACCCATCATGTGGGTGGTAGTAGCTCCATACCCATCATGTGGGTGGCAGCCCCTCCATACCCATTATGTGAATGATAGTCCCTCCATACCCATTATGTGAGTGGCAGTCCCTCTATACCCATCATGTGGGTGGTAGTTCCTCCATACCCTCCCACTAACCCCTGTCAAGGCAGGCGAAATTGTTGACTTGGAGAGGGTACAAAAAACTTTCACGGCACAAATAAGTACAATAAAGCACCTAAATTACTGGGAATGGTTGAAGTTCCTTGATTTGTATTCCCTGGAATGCAGGCGAGAGAGAGACATGATAATATACACATGGAAAATCCTAGAGAGATTAGTACCAAACTTGCACACGAAAATCACTCCCTACGAAAGCAAAAGACTCGGCAGGAGATGCAACATTCCCCCAATGAAAAACAGAGGCACCAAGAGTACACTAAGAGACAGCACAATAATTGTCAGGGGCCCAAGACTGTTCAACTGCCTCCCAGCTTACATAAGGGGGATTACCAATAGACCCCTGGCTGTCTTCAAGAAGGCACTGGACAGGCACCTGACCAGCTGGGCTGTGGTTTTTATGCCAGATTGCATGTGGCCAGCAGTAACAGCCTGGTTGATCAGACCCTGATCCACCTCGAGGCCTGGTCTCAGACCAGGCCGTGGAGGGATTGACCCCCGAAACCTTCTCCAGGTATACTCCAGGTATACCCATCATGTGGCTGGTAGTCCTTCCATACTCATCATGTAGGTGGTAGTCCCTCCATACCCATTATGTGAGTGGCAGTCCCTCCATACCCATCATGTAGGTGGTAGTCCCTTCATACCCATCATGTGGGTGGTAGTCTGTCTATACCCATCATGTGGGTGGTAGTCTCTCCATACCCATCATGTGGGTGGTAGTCTCTCCATACTCATCATGTGGGTGGTAGTCCCTCCATAACCATCATGTGGGTGGTAGTCCCTCCATACCCATCATGTGGACAGTAGTCACCCCTGTACTCATACTCTGGGTCATAGTCTCCCATATTCATCCTGTGGGCGAGTCCTCTCATTCCCACCCTCTGGGTGGTAGTCTATACACTCATCCTGTGAGTGATAGTAGTCACCCCATACCCATCCTGTAGGTAAATTTTTATTTAGGTCTCATGCTCTGAATTTTTAACAATGGTTTTTTAAATTAAATTATGCAGAATTTAACATAGGATAACTTAAAAAAGAGAAAGACTGATATAATGAATTCAGAGACCAGGCCCCAACATAAGTGTTAGCTAAACAAAATATAACACTGTAGTAATGATATGTTTGTAAGAGTAATGGATTCAGGCACATAGTAATGAGTTGTTACACATTTAGTGAATTCAATCACATCAGCATAATAGAGCACATCCAACATATTACAAAGGCAAATTGGTCCAAAGAACTGGACAAAAATGCCATGTTAGTCAGGTAAATTACATTGCTACAGCTTTACATACAGTAGGAAATGCTAGGGTATTTTGTTAGAATTTTTTATCATATACCTATACAATATTTCATTACAAATGAAATACTGGGCCTTTAAGGGAGATGTTTCTAAATTCTTGAAATTTTTAGTATTTAAGCTCATAATATGAGAAATTTGTAACCTAGATGGTAGAAACATTCAATGTCTGCTGATTTTGTAAAGTAAAAGGACATAAGTGCAACTAATGTGACATTTTATTGTGGCAACGTTTCGCTCTCCAGGAGCTTTATCAAGCCATTACAAACAATACATGGACACAGAGGGTATATAAAGGCTCTGAGTGAGGTGCAGTACTAGTGAGGTACCATTTAGATGTTCACTAGTGGTAGTAGTAGTAGTGACAAAAGTAGTAGTAGTAATACAATATGGTAGAGCAATTAATTCGTACATGAGTAAAAGGATATAAAAGCTATTACTTGGGTAACATAAAAATAGGTTGGACAAATATAGACTGGAAAGAGGCAGCCTGTTTCAGTGTTCACTCTCTGTAATGTGCTTTATGTAGTATAACAGGAGAGACTATGTGATGGCAGGGTTTACTGTTTTCAGGAGGATTCTTGCTAAGACTTCAGAGATGGTGAAGCTGCCGTTGTTTTGTTTAATTGTATTCGAAACGGCGATCAGTGCTGATTCGAGGCACTTGCGTCTGCGGAAATTAGTTTCTTTAATCACTAATTGGGCGTCTCTGAATTTCATGAGATGATTGGTAGAATTTTGATGTTGTACACAGGCGTTGTTCAAGTTATCGTTCCTACATGCGTAAATGTGTTCATTGAGGCGGGTGTCGAGGTTTCTTGCTGTTTCACCTACATAAATCTTGTCACAGCCTCCACAGGGTATAGTGTAAACTCCTGCGTTGACTGGTTCGTGGTGCTTGGATTTTGTTCTGGTTAGATCCTTTATTGAGTCGCCATCGCTTCTAGCACTTCAATAAAGGATCTAACCAGAACAAAAGCCAAGCACCACGAACCAGTCAACGCAGGAGTTTACACTATACCCTGTGGAGGCTGTGACAAGATTTATGTAGGTGAAACAGCAAGAAACCTCGACACCTGCCTCAATGAACACATTTACGCATGTAGAATGATAACTTGAACAACGCCTGTGTACAACATCGAAATTCTACCAATCATCTCATGAAATTCAGAGACGCCCAATTAGTGATTAAAGAAACTAATTTCCGCAGACGCAAGTGCCTCGAATCAGCACTGATCGCTGTTTCGAATACAATTAAACAAAACAACGGCAGCTTCACCATCTCTGAAGTCTTAGCAAGAATCCTCCTGAAAACAGTAAACCCTGCCATCACATAGTCTCTCCTGTTATACTACACAAAGCACATTACAGAGAGTGAACACTGAAACAGGCTGCCTCTTTCCAGTCTATATTTGTCCAACCTATTTTTATGTTACCCAAGTAATAGCTTTTATATCCTTTTACTCATGTACGAATTAATTGCTCTACCATATTGTATTACTACTACTACTTTTGTCACTACTACTACTACTACTACCACTAGTGAACATCTAAATGGTACCTCACTAGTACTGCACCTCACTCTGAGCCTTTATATACCCTCTGTGTCCATGTATTGTTTGTAATGGCTTGATAAAGCTCCTGGAGAGCGAAACGTTGCCACAATAAAATGTCACATTAGTTGCACTTGTGTCCTTTTACTTTACATATTGTCGGTAATTCTACCAACTTTATTACGATCTGCTGATTTTGTTGGCTGTGATAGACATTTTTTTTTTTTTTTGCACAAAAGTATGATAATAGCTGGAAAGCATGTTGTTACTCTCACTCTTTCTCATTTATATTTGTTGTAGTTAATCTGGAATTCTTTCCAAACTATTGTCCTCAGAATGCTAGTGGACAGTCCAAAATTTTAATCAACTCCCTCCTGTTGATATTTTTACCATGCCTGTGCCTGGCATGAAGAAAGCATGCTATAATCTAGACAGATGTACCTACAAGACAGCTATTAAGAACTGGATTGCAGAGTCTATCACACTGTGTTCTAGAGGTGTTTAGCATTTTGATCACTGAAGGTTAGTATTAAATCTGCATTAGTATCAGATTTAGAAACATTACTCCATATGACAGGGTAAGCAAAGGAGCCACACAGGTGTTAGTACTCACACTCTACAGCTGTCAAGGCCATACTGACTGAGGGGTAAGTCGAACTGTGTGAGAGTGGTAGTTATGAGCCTCTTGGTCTTGACTTTGAGTACCAGATTGTGGTGATTGGGTGACGAGCTCACCAGAAAGCTGCATGCCTCCTGCCAGCGGGGTGTAGTAATGGCCGGCGTCACATGCTGCTGTCCATCTACCATTACCACCACCCACTTGTCCTCATCAAGACCTACACCTGTAACAGATAAAATACAAAATTAGGAACTTTAGGCACTGATGAGGATGAGCTAAGAGTAAATACCAAAGACTGTGGTAATACAGTAATGTACTCTATCATTTATTGTAGTATATAAGACACTCAATTCCAATTTAAACGCTTCTCTGAAACTCTTCCTTGAGACAACTGCAACAGAACTCACAGACAATTTTTTTTTTCAATGAACTGGCCATATCCCATCAAGGTAGGGTGACCTAAAAAGAAAAACAAAAGTTTTTCTTTTTAAATTTAATGATTTATACAGGAGAGGGGGGTTACTATTCCCTTTCTCTCACAACATGCATAGCTTACAGAGGAAGAATTCTGTTCCAATTCCCCACAGACATAATATAAGACACCTAAACTCTTTGATATCCCAGAGTCTGACTCAACCTGTGTAAAACCTCAGTGCATAAAAAAGGTCCTAAAATCTGGAACTCTCTGCCTGAAGCCTCTAAATGTCCCCTAACTGCCTAAAAATAAATTCAAAGCTATTGTTAAAAAGCATCTCTCTCCTTAATATAATCCAGACAGCAATTTGCTAGTCAAACACTACCTATCCTTATCCACTTATGTCCCTGTTCTTTTTCTGCCTTCCTTCAACTGCCATATATACATAATTAGTAATATATATTGTTCCACTGGATTTGTATTGTAATTTAAGTAACTTGTAATTTCACTATATTTATTCAATTACACCATAAAACTGAAGACCACTGAACCAGTTTACAATAATAATAATAATAACAGTTTATTTTGACATGATACATTGTTGTACAAAGGAATACAATAGTTGGGTGTACATGCCAAAAGCCCCTTTGTATGCAGAGCATTTCGGGCAAATTTAAAATTAACGTAAGATGAATAAGGCAATAACAGTTTATATGATTATTAGACGAGTTACAATGAGTACAAATGAATTCAATTCAATTCAATTCAAATTTTATTCTCTATAAGGTATAAGGATTACAATGCTGAGTTTACAGAATTTGGTTATTGTGTGGTTTACATGTAGTAAAATAATAATTACAGAGTGTACCACTAGAACACCTAGCATGGCTAGGCATTTCGGGCAGACTTAGATTAAATCTTAAGTTTAAAATATTACAAAATTATGAGGTAAGTTGGTATTATGGCTAAGTGACTAAATACTAGTTTGTGAGTTTAGCAATGTGAATGCTTTTGTTTTGGCACTATACATAGTTTCAGTATTGGAGTATCACAGGCCATTCTTTATCACAGGCATTCTTTTAGGTAATGCTGTATGGCTGTAATAAGTTTAGTAGTGCAGATCAGTATAGAATAATACAGTTTTGATATAGTTTATACACAATTTACAATTTAGAACAAGTTAAAACAACTTACAATATGAAATATTACAATTTAGTACATTTGAAAACAAATAATATATGTTTCATAACTGACCACTTTGTCATTACCTACCTTTCTTGTTAAATGTATGACTGTATTTAACTGTACAAGACCTACATAATGATTGTCTACTTCTTAAGTAGTTTGTGATCCTTACGATTAGTTGCCCGAAATGCATTGCATAACAAGTTTTTTGTAGCTACTATTTACCTGGAGAGAGTTCCGGGGGTCAACGCCCCCGCGGCCCAGTCTATGACCAGGCCTCAAGTTTCTACCCATGTATTTAAACTGTCTGTATGCTCAAAGGAATAAAGCATTATCATTATCAGCTCTGGTAAAAGAGACAACACAGAGACCTGAGAGCACTAGTATCAAGCGTATCAAGCACTATGATCTGTTTTGGGCAACATAAAACGTCTACTAGATTGTGTAACATGGTGACTGCCAGAATCAGGTTAGGATACACAAATAACCCGCACATAGAAAAGAGGAGCTTATGACGATGTTTTGGTCTGACTTGGACCACTTATAAAGTCACACTAACATAAAGGAAAGAAGGAGGGAGTATATATATAGGCCAGCAGACATTGACAGGAGCAAGAGAAGTAGTAGTGGAGGTGGTAGTAGTAGTAGTGGAGTCAGTTAAATACCAAGAGGAGCACTGCAAGGGAGCTAGGGGGAAACGGGAGACGGGGGAAAAAATAATAAAAGAACTATACCTACTGATGTCTTTCTTGATCTTATCTGCCTTTGTGTGGACTCAAATTCCTTTTCCTTCCATGTTAAATATTATTCTCAAACCTTCGGTGTCGCTATGGGCTCTCCTCTATCTCCTGTCCTTGCTAATCTTTGCACAGAATACTTTGACTGTTCTTCATACTACTGATGTGCGCCCTTCACTCTGGCTCCGCTATGTAGATGACATCTTTGCTTTTTGGCCTCATGACTCTAGTCTCTTCCAACCATTTCTTGATCCTCTTAATAATCTTGCCCCTTCCATTAAGTTTAAAGCTGAATTGGAATCTAATTCCTTGCTTCCTTTTCTTGATGTTCATATCCACTGCTCAGATACACGTTTTGCCTCTTCCATTTACCTCAAGCCTATGCACAGTGGCATGTACGTTCACTACTTTTCTTATTAGGCTTCCTCTATCAAGAAAAGTGTTCTTATCTCCCTCTTTCTTCATGCTCTCCACATTTGTAAGCCTCAGTTCCTTTAATCTGAAATTTCCATTCTTCATAATTCATTTTCCCATCTTGGCTATCCTTCTCATTTCACAGACTCTGACTTCTCATGTGCTAAATAGACTTTCTTCTCTCCCAAACTCTCTACTCCTGTGAACTCTCCTGTCCTCTGCCTTCCCTACATTTCCAGTCTTTCTAATCTCGACAATTCTCTCCGTTCCTTAGACATCAAACTTACTTTTTGCCAGACTAACACTTCGCACTAATCTAGTTCATACCTCCCCTCCCTCTATAGATGCTACTTATGTCTACTCTATTTCTTGTTCCTCCTGCCCTCTTCAATACTTTGGAGAAACTAGCCGATCTCTTTCTGACAGACTTGGGGAGCACAAAAGTAGTGTTAGGCTTGCCGACACCAACAATGCTCTTTTCTGTCATGTCAGAGATCACAGTCATCCTATTGACTGGTCTTCTGCTAAAACTGTCTACCCTACTTCTAACTTTCACAGTCACAGTTTGGTTGAATCCTCCCTTATACACAACTTTCCTTGTATGAATCTTGGTCCTGGCTTTGTCTCTGTAGATGCCTTCCTTTCCCACTACATTGTAAAATGCTCCAAACTTCAGAACACCCGTGACTCAACCTGATTCTTTTTTCCCCTTCTCCCTCTTCCCCTTTCCTCTCTCCTTTTTGTCCTTTGGATTTTCTTTCTTCTGCTTTGGGTATTTGTTCTTTTATTATTTTCCCCCCTCTGTGTTCTTGCTCCTACCCTCTGTGGGCCCCTAGCTCCCTTGCAGTGCTCCTCTCTCTTAGTATCTGACTGACACTACTACTACTACCACTACTACTACTACTAACTACTACTACTACTAACTACTACTACTACTACTACTACTACTACTATAACTACTACTACTACCTCTCTTGCTCCCATCAATGTCTGCTGGCCTATATATAATGTACTCCCTCCTTCTCTCCTTTCTGTTAGTGTGACTTTGTGAATGGTCCAAGTCAGACCGAAACATCATCGTAAGCTCCTCTCTTCAATGTATGAGTTATTTGTGTATTGTTCCAGTCACGGCATTGTGGCTTTTTTCGTTATTCAGGTTGGGATATCATCACATGCAGCAAATACATACTACCACATGAGAGCCTCCCATCCCTGCAATATTCGACATGCAAGCTCTACTCATCTCACATCTGTACCAACATCTGTTCCAATACTCACCTCTCACCCACCTTAAAACTCCATTTGCTTTATTACATTCCCATTTGCTTTATTACCCACCCACCACCATCACCCATACTACTACTAACTATTACTACTCAACTACCACCCAACTCCTACTAACTCATCATCAGTCAATTTCCCATACACCTCTCCAACACCAACCTGAAGTGGCCTTAAGTGTCCACAATATGACAGTGAGGACACCCTGAGCTAGAGTGTCTCCAGGGCGAGTCTCTGGCACAATAACCTCTGTTGAGTGGATACTGATCTCAAGCTGACCTGGGTCAACCCAGGCAGTGGAGAGTGCATCCATGACTAGTGAGTGGAGCCACGTTTTGAGTACTGGCACCTCCATCATCTGCACTGCCTATTAAAGGAACCAATCTTAGTTTGGATTGCAGGAGTGTGTAAGGGCAGTGTGTAGATGGTGGGAGAGAAGAGACTTAGGGAAAACTGTGAGGAAGGATGAAGAAAAGCAGGAACTGTGTGAGGTAGATTGGTCGCTTCATTTGCTAGATTTAAAGACTATCAGTTGCCCAAGGGTAATTAAAGCTGCATATCACCTGTACACCACTAATCAAGAATACTTTAATTCCTCAGAGGGATTAAAATATACTTTGGTCACATAGTACTCTAAGAGACACCTCCTGGTGCATATATGATATCATGAAGTGGGGTGAGAGGGAGAGTATGCAAGCACAATACTGCATTACTTCACTTTGGTAATATGAAAGATCTTCACAGTACATGCAATGTACTTAAAGGTTTCTTCTTCCACGGACTGTAAAATACTTAATTAACTTCAGAACATTAATAATTGATCTTCATAATGATCATTTTCTAAATGACTTGTTATTTATAAGATTAACTTAACAGTATCAAATAATGACTGAAGATTTAATATACTACTCTCCCCTTAACTTTCTAGGCCTACACATCCTAAAACAAAGCAGTAATGGTCTGCTATGTGGTTACTAAACTCATACTAAAACAATTATATAATCACATATATAAGCATATGTAACTTTAATAGTAAAACTTTGTGAGCTATCCAGGTTAAGAGCTATAAATTATAATAGAAGTAATAAATGTAAAAGTGAGAGGCATAAGAGTTAAGGGAGTGCTGAAAATGGTGAGAAAATGTCATCATCACAAGGCAGGCCACCAGCAGTTAAAGAAAATACATTATAATGCGAGGGTCGGAGGACATCAGGACAAAGCAGGTCAAGATATGCTGAAGTGATTTAGTGGCTACCAAGTCCTCATGAAACTGTAATCAGGACTGAAAAGGTCAGTAATGCTCAAAATAGGTCAGGTAATGTTTGGGGGAGAGACCAGGAAAGGTCATCTAAAGAGGAATTTAGGAGTCGCTTAAATTCACAAAGAAAATGATATATGTAACTAGCTTAAATAACAAAAGATTTTTACAGGTGAAAGGTCAATAGTTTTTCATAACAAAATTATGGAGAACACTGGAAAAACTAAATAAAAAATGACAGACTCTGTCAGGAGTCATGTCCATCACAATAATGATTTATTAAAGATTTATAAAAAACTTAACCATTCTTATCTTGTCTAGACTTAAGTAATTATGTACTACGATTGGTTTGCCCAAAATGCCCCGGCATGATAGTGGCTTTCTTTGTACTTAACAAAACAGAATTGTAATTGCACATTGTAACCTTTACAAAGAAATAAAACCTTTAAACTTTTTTTCTTTTAAAGCATGAAATATGAGCCAAAAAAATACACAGTACAGTATGCAAAACAAGCCACGGGGATGATGGAAATCTTTAGCTCAAGATCTTACACAAGGTATAGGTTATAGAGTTTAGGCAATACATTATAGGTTTCAGGGGATAGACTATACAGTTCAGGGGATAGGCTACAAGGTTCAGAGGATAGGCTCTAGGGTTCAGGGGATAGGCTCTAGGGTTCAGGGGATAGGCTCTAGGGTTCAGGGGATAGGCTCTAGGGTTCAGGGGATAGGCTCCAGGGTTCAGGGAATAGGTTATTGGGCTCAGGTTATAAGCTTTGGGTAATAAGTTACAAGGTTCAGGGGACAGGCTACATGGTTCAGGTAATAGGTTACAGTGTTCAGGGATAGGTTATGGAGCTAATGGGTATGAAGGTTCATTGGACAGGTTGCACATAAATGGTTAAGTAAGAAATGTTCTATAGATTATACGATAAGACAGACTGCAGAACCAACCTTGAGAATCCTGACGCTGAACCAGACTTGAGGTTTCTCAGTGAAGGAGAGAGCGAGGCGGGTGAGGTGTGGGAAGGGTGCCTCCATATCCAGGGTGACTGTCACAACCACACGCCCCAGAACAGCAAGCTTCTCCACGCCCACATCCAGGTCCACGCCCACCCTGCAACACCGCCCACACAGGCAATAACAATTATTCGAGGATAGGAGTGTTTTCCAATGTTTTCTTAGGAAACAGTTGTGTTTTGTCACATATTCTTCATTATTGCAGCATTATGCAATAATTTTTATTGCTACATAAGACAAGATAAGATTTGCTGAGATTTTTAACCCGGAGGGTGAGCCAAGAAAGTCAGTGCATCATCAAGGACTGTCTGTATTATTTCCATTGTGGTCTTTCAATCTTGTCCCCCAGAATGCCACCCACACCAGTCGATTTACACCCAGGTACTTATTACTTACTGCTAGGTGAACTGGGACAGTAGGTGTAAGGAAACATGCCCAACATCTTCACCTTTGCCATGGACTGAACCACAGACACTCAGTGTGTGAGATGAGAGCATTGGCAACCAAGCCAGGGTAGGAGTATTGACCAACATTGGGCCATGAAATTAAATTTTTTATTTCTTTGCATAGTATATAGTATGTGACTTACATGCTATAAAATACTGTTAAGTACAAAGAAAGCCACTAACATGAGTGAGCATTTTGGACAGATTAATACTAATTATGTATGTGCTTGGCTGGGTATCTAATTATATAAAGCTAATTATATATGTCCCTAGCTAGGTATGTATTTAATTATGTATTTATCAAATAATGTATGTTCAAATGTAATGCTCCATGACCTATATCAATATAGAGTAGGAATTAGTATCAGTCTGCCCAAAATGCCTAGGCATGCTAGTGGCCTTTGTAATTAACATTTTGCAACATGTAAACCAAACACTGGGTACTTCCCACACACCAGCCAGGGCACTTCCCCACATACCAGCCCAGGTACTTCCCCACATACCAGCCAGGGAACTTCCCCACATACCAGCCCAGGTACTTCCCCACATACCAGCCAGGGTACTTCCCACACACCAGCCAGGGAACTTCCCCACATACCAGCCCAGGTACTTCCCCACATACCAGCCAGGGAACTTCCCCACATACCAGCCCAGGTACTTCCCCACATACCAGCCAGGGTACTTCCCCACATACCAACCAGGGTACTTCCCACACACCAGCCAGGGAACTTCCCCACATACCAGCCAGGGTACTTCCCCACATACCAGCCAGGGTACTTCCCACACACCAGCCAGGAACTTCCCCACATACCAGCCAAGGTACTTCCCCACATACCAGCTGGGTACTTCCCCACATACCAGCCAGGGTACTTTGCCACATACCAGCCAGGGTACTTCGCCACATACCAACCAGGGTAATTCCCCACATACCAGCCAGGGAACTTCCCCACATACCAGACAGGGTACTTCCCCACACACGATTTGATTTGATTGGGACTTGCGCATGAGTGAATAGAATTATCAAAGCTTATTGCTTGGGAAGCATTGAAAATAGGGATGGGCAAATACGTTTCTGTTAGTGGGATGGTTTGTGAAGGACCTGCCTAGTATGGGTCAACAGGCCTGCTGCAATGTTCCTGCTTTCTTATGTGCAAACATTTATGGATGAACATCATCCTGACAGCTGTTGCAGGATGTGCTGGCAACATCTACAATGACAATGTTGTGTCCCATTTTAGGGAAATCTTAAAAAAATGCCAGAAACAGAGCTCTCTGGACACATTTTTGGTGCGACAGGGGTCCAATGACTCTCAAGCTGGTCCTAGTGGTATTAAAAAACAAAGAAGGGAGGTAACCCCAGAAAAGGACTTGTTACCTGAAGTCTTTATGGAAGGGGATTTCCCTTCCAAACAATTGTAGACTCCTCCATCCTCTGTCCTCCTCCCATCTCATCACTCATCAATACATCTTCAATAAAGATAAAAGTCATTTCAGTATTGTTTACTCTGCATGTCTCATTGTTTTGTGTAGGGAAATGTATATTTCACGTAAAAAAATTATTCTGTTTAATACTTTTGGGTGTCTGGAACGGATTAATTGGATTTCCATTATTTCTTGTGGGGAAAATTAATTCGGATAACGAAAAAATCGGTTAGAGACAAGCTCTCTGGAACAGATTAATGTCGTTACCTGAGGATCCACTGTACTACTGTATAGAAAGCCCCTTGTCTTGCAGAGCATTTCGAGCAAATTAGGTCAATTTCGTCCCCAAGATGCAACCCACACCAGTCAACCAACAACCAGGTATGGAACCTCTGGTTATGAACGCTTCTGAACACAAACAAATCAGTTCACGACCAAAAAATTCGCCAAATTTTTGTATCTTGTCACGAGCACATAATCAGGAGCCAAACAAACACAGCCACGCCGATTTACATATTCTGCACCATTTTTTTGCATGCACCAATTTTCCCCACTTTCTGCTGTTTTGTGTACTGTATCACTGTAGGCAACAAGAGTATTTCACCCCTCCATGGAAGATATGTTCATTTAATATCACATACCTGCAAGTCCCTCCCAAGAAGCTCATTGCTAGTAATCCCTTCCTTAAATCTCTTGTTAGAGCAACTGCTCAAGAAGAAATTTCTCACCTAGCTGGTAATAATAAGTTATCACAAGTTATATACACTGATGGATCTAAACAGGAGTCTTCTGGCAGGGCTGCATCTGCTCTTGTTGCCACCTCCCTAGTTAAAAACAATAATAAATTTGTTGAGTTAGGCATAAGAATTAACAACTGGGCGTCTACACTGCAAACTGAATTGTTTGCAATCCTAATGGCGCTAAAGCTAACCTATGACACTGAGCTTGACTCTATCATCATTACTGATTCTATGTCATCATTGAAGGCTCTTGGCTCATATAATGACTCCAACATGCTCATTGGAGAAGCCAGGTATAGATACTCAAAAATCAGGGACAAAGGAATTAATGTACAATTGCTATGGATCCCATCACACATTGGATTACTCCTTCATGATAAAGTTGATATGTTAGCCAAGAAGAGTACCCAGAAGGAGAATGTAGAATATAACTTTGGTATATCTGTGTCTAGCATTAGGAATAATATTAGGAGAGAAGTAAATAATGAAAATGATTGTTATAGGAATGCAGTTAGAAGCCTGAGTAGATCTATAACCCACTATGATAACATGAACGTAGATAAGTATGTTTATGGAGCAACTTGCAATGTGAACAGACTGACTGATGTTGTAGTGGCCAGGCTTAGGCTTGGTTACAAGTACTTCTGGCAGTTTGGGAGACACACAGATGATGATCAAACTAAATGTAAATTATGTGATCAGGCATATGGTCACTCTCTTGAACACTATGTGCTTAATTGTCCACTTATTGAGGAATACAGAGACAGACAGTATAATAACCTATGTGACATGTCAAGATATCTTATTAATGAAAATAAGATACCAGATATACTAAGCAAATTTCCTAAATTTGCTTGTAACAGATAAGTGAACTATAGATATGTAGATATAAATCCATATGTATTCCGGTTAACCCTTTGGGGCCTAGTTCCTAGGCCTTTTGTGTATCCATATGTTCTTGTGCTACCGTCCACAGGATGGATATGGGGTGCACAATAAACTAGCCACTTCGGTGGCAAAATCTAAAAATCTAAAATGTGTAAACCTAACAAAGACCCTCTCAACACTGTTATAAGAATCATTGTTGTAAGTAAGTTTATTAAGGTATACACAAATACAGTTACATAGATAATCATACAGCAGCATGTGTGTAAAGAACCTAAGATAACCCAAAAAAGTCAGTGACTTATTTTCTCGATTTTTTTTTTCGGTGAGCACTCGTTTTTGTTGATTATCTCAGAAGCAAGTTATTCATAAATTAGAGTAATAATGATCATAATAAATTTGGATCAGCAATGTTTTATCAGCAGGTAGTGCACAAACAGCTCGCAGTGCCAGTACCCGTCTAGGGCTTGCCATATATTATGATTTTTTTTTCTCAGTTGTTTGTTGGGCTATCTTATTGAAACTTGGGCAATGTATGATGGAAACATGCTTCTTAACTTACACCAAAAATGAAAGAAATCGGACAGTAAATAACGGAGCTCACTTCTCAGCCATTCAAAAACTGTTTACAGCGAAGTTTGTACGGGTCTAGAACGGACTCTTGCAATGTTAGTTTTCTCTGTTGTTCAAGGTTTTCTCAGTGTTATTCAAGGTTTTTACATTTAGTTTACTATTACACTGTGCATTCTATGGTATAATTAACTATTTTTGTTCTTAAATATCTTAAAAAACAATATTTACATACAGTTCATAGGAGTCTGGAATGGATTAATCATATTTACATAGTACAATCCAATGGGGAAATTAGGTTTGGGTCACGACCAGAGTTTTGGAACAAAGTTTACCTGGAGAGAGTTCCAGGGGTCAACCCCCCCACGGCCCGGTCTGTGACCAGGCCTCATGGTGGATCAGAGCCTGATCAACCAGGCTGTTACTGCTGGCTGCACGCAATCCAACGTACGAGCCATTGCCCGGCTGGTCAGGTACCGACTTTAGGTGCTTGTCCAGTGCCTGCTTGAAGACAGCCAGGGGTCTATTGGTAATCCCCCTTATGCATGCTGGGAGGCAGTTGAACAGTCTTGGACCCCTGGCACTTATTGTGTTGTCTCTTAACATGCTAGTGACACCCCTGCTTTTCATTGGGGGGATGTTGCATTGTCTGCCGAGTCTTTTACTTTCGTATTGGTATTGGTTCATTCTTTCCATCGTCATCGTCTTTTTCTTCGTCATCGTCGGAAGTGGTTGGTTGTACTCGCCTAGTTGTGTTTGCAGGGGTCGAATCACAGCTCCTGGCCCCACCTCTTCACTGGTCGCTACTAGGTCACTCTTCCTGCTCCACAAGCTTTATCATATCTCTTCTTAAAGCTATGTATGGATCCTGCCTCCACTACATCACTTCCCAGTCTATTCCACTTTCTGACAACTGTGACTGAAGAAATACTTCCTAACATCCCTGTGATTCATCTGAGTCTTCAACTTGCAACTGTGGCCCGTTGTTGCTGTGTCCTATCTCTGGAACATCCTGTCCCTGTCCACCTTGTCAA